TCCCTTGCATTGATACAGTCATCCCTTAATTTACTTTTATAGATTTCAATCTTTTCATATTGCAAAGCCAATGATGGGGACCACATGGTCTTGAGAATAGTTGCTTCATTCCATTTAACCACAGAAGCTTCCTCTTGTGCCATACTTGACAAAACTGTGTTAGAGTGTCCTTTATGAATGTCATATTTGTGTTTTATCAGTTAATTTACGTTTTATTAATTAAAAATCACCAACTTTACGTATAATAAAAACATCAAGGACATCACGAAACAAGTTTCAGATAAAAAAACACTCCAAAATTGTTTACAAAAGAGCTCCTAATTTGTATAGTATGCTCAGAAACGACAAGGACAAGCTAAAGAAAGGAGAAGCAGCGGACGTGTATAAAATTCTGTTTGAATACCAACAGCTAGGAATTAAGAAGGACTATATTGGAGTCACAAGAAGGAATTTAGCTATTAGCTATTATACAAGAAGGAATTTAGCTATAGGCTTAAAGAACACAAATATGATGAATGCAAGGGATGTGGATGGATTTGCTTCTGCATGGAAGTTCTTCATAAAAGAAAAATTAAAATATCCAAATTCTTAGTCCCTATCTGCCTTTATAATGTTATGCCTTTTTATGCATTTAATTTTTATGAATTTATTTTAATTTATTTTATTTATCTATTTTATTTCGTTTTATTTTATTAATATTATTTATTTTGTTATGACTTCAATGTATTTAATATATTAATTTTTTTTGGTTATTGATTTGATAGTTTTATTTTCGTTTTAATTTTGAATTTGTAATGATCGAACGTTCCATTTAATGCAATTTCGAAATACTTTCGAATGCCAGTTCATCTGAAGATGGCCTATTCCATTAGGCTGAAAACATATGTGTTTAAATAAAGTATTCTCAGCGATAGAAGGTGTTAAGTGTTTTATTAAATGTTTTAAAAGAAGCTGAGTTTGTTATTTAATTTAATTAGTTAATGATATGTTATTATCCGTTATTATCGCAAATGCAACGTCGTTTATTTGACCTTCCATAAAACAATAGAAAAATGCAGAAAATTTGTTACTCTGGAATTGCTTATTGCAGTAGAATGATAGAATTTTCTATAATAATTGTATTTAATGTAAAAATAATGAAACAGTAAACAGGATAATTCGTTTAATAACCTATAATATGTTAAATTCGTTTACAAGCCCGTCTGTCATTCTTTAATCTCGAGAACGGAGTTAGAGAGATGAACTTCAAGAGAGATATGCATAACGTAGGCAAAAGGGACTCTAATTAACTGTACACGAACCGCCAATACAAACCGGAAGTCACGTTATTTCAATTCTAATATTTTTCCCCTGTAAGGAATTAGATGGATAATGGCATGGCACACTCGCTAACAGGAAGAGTATAATGTGCTGGGGCTTGCTAAACAGGAAAAATATTAAAACTAAATTTTGGATGACGGTATTTACATTAAAATATATATATAGGGCCTATAAATAAAATTTAACGAAGCTACAAAATTGTCTTCGTGTTCCGTCGTTACAAACACCAGTAACTTCAAAAAACAATTTCCAGTTACGGAGACGATCTTCTATATATATTTTAAAGGAAAAGTATTATATACAGAGGCAAGACACCACTAATTTGAGGTGGAGAGCATATATTTTAAATTAAATAGATTAAACAACTATTTCCTATGTTTTGTGCTAGCGTACTTTTACTATAGACGGACTTATCAAACCGGACAGAATGACCTTCAGATACAATTTTCTTCTGTATAATTATAACGATATGCATTTCGGACCCAATAGGTCCCTCCTCAGTCGTGATACATAAATCTCTTTGTGGATTTCTAGGTATATCCCTAGGGGTACGTGTATCGACCTAGATTGGTCAAACTAAGTATGATCAAAATAGATAACATTATAGCTAATATAAATCGAATACAAGCTTTATTTCACTACGTTGATGATCGTTTTATAGTTTATAAGTAATAAAATTATAAACATAATATAGATAATATTAATAAAATAAAATTTGATGTAGTGAATGAAGAAAATAATACGTTGTCGTATTTAGACGTGCTAATTACTAAAAAATATAGTAATATAAGTATTAAAAAGACACGAAAAAACAGTGAGGACAATAAAATAATAAATTGCTATTTTTAATTTATAATGTATGTCAAAAAAAAATACATTCGATATACTTATAAAGAAAATCATAGAAAGAACAACCGATTCAAAAGATGAAGAAAATGAAACAAATGCGTTGAGAGGTTTTTACTATAAAACTAATAATGTATGTGCAAATACCTAGAAATCCACAAAGGAGAGACCGAGGAGAGACCTATTGGATCCAAAATACATATCGTAATAACACATAGAAGAAAATTGTATCTGAAGGTCATTCTGTCCAGGTTGCAGGAAAAGTGTCTAGCACGAAACATATGAAATAAGTCAAATCACAAAAAGCGATGTGAAAAAAATAACTATGATTAAAAATTGCAGCCCGTCATTGTGAGTCACAATAAACAATTGCTGGTTATAAATTTGCTACTTTCATGCACGTAATATGAAGTAACTAACATAATTTTCTGCTATAAATACAGGAAATAATTTCAGTATTGCATACCTTTTCCAATTTCCTCTTACGCAGCTTTAATTTAATTATAACTTCTGTATATCAGATAATAATTCGTAAATTTTTCAAAAAATATTGCAATTATTATTAATATTCTAGCGATTTCTACGTCGTATCTGAGTTTATACAAACATATATTTAAAAGCCTGAATGTAAATCATTTATCAAACGTTTTTTATATCGTGTCTGCATGATTGAATAGAAAGATGAGGAAAATTTTCCACAATTTCTGTATAATTTATAAAACAAGTTTTTACAAAAATTCACACTAATTAAAAATAAAAAAAAAAAGCTGATGTCACTTCTAGTCCAGAAGTTCCAGTCATTAAAATACGGTCGTTGGGTCTTACGTCGTGTTTTAAACTGTAGAAAAATATAATAGTTTTGACGTAGTAGTAACGTTTTACGTCTTGCAGCATTAAAGGAAAATGCAGAAAAAGAAACGAGACGAAGTGAAGAAGTAGAATTATTTTTCGTAGCAGTCAGGAAGTATTCTTTCCTCCATAATAAATAGACAAACAATATAAAGACACTACTTGCTATACTCGAATTAATTCTGCTAGCGATAATGTAGTCCTTTAGAAATAAACTAAACAGAAGATAAGGTGAAAAGAATCTAGTTATTAAGTAGTATGTATGCACTTGTAGAAAAATATCAAAATTTTTTTATACTTCATATATTTCAACTTAATTTTACGATGGTTATCGGTATTTAATAAACAAGATTCTTGTATTTTTAATCACACGAAATCGACCAATTCACATTGCTAAAAATTAACGTTAGAAATGCTAAACGAAACAGAGTGTGTCGAGAAAATTCTTAATGTTACTGATGAACACAAGACACAAATAAAATTTATTTACTCCGAACAATTATTTGCAAGTGAGCAAGAATCAATTTACTTACAAACACAACGTGAAAATTTTTTGTAATATTCACGTAAACTTCTCAATAAAGATACAAATCTGTCCTTGATGCAGCTGTATTTTAAATAAAAACAACTAAATTGCTTTTGTTATAAATTCTCAGACATTAAATGCAGATGTAGTTTGCCTCGGTTGAGTAAAACTCTTCCTTGCAGCAATAATTTAACTATTAATCAATAAATAATAAAATTTTCTTGCAATTTACGTTAATAATAAACATTTTAATGCTTTCTACTCATTTATGTGCTAATATTTTATTCGCTATAAGAGGAGCGAGAACGATTAAAAGCAGTAAGATCATTTTTAAGTGTTGGAATGTTTAAATCTGTACGTTTAGCTACTTAATCATTTTAATATCTTAAAGTTAATGAATGTTGAAATTAGAATTGTCAACGAATTTCATTTGTTTGTTTCTATTATCAATAGTTAAACGGCCTCTAACCGATTCAGAAATAGAAAAATCAGTTGTCTAACGATGATTATGAATGGGCGACATTGTTTTTGTATCTCTACTTTCCAACGAAGTTTTGAGTCTTTTATATTATATTTAGCAATAAATATCGGTATTTTCTTCTCACTTTTTTATTTAATTGATTTTTACATAAGCACGAACGTCACATCACCTCTTAAATGCGTATTCACTGTATGTAAAGATTGGCAGTTTCCAGTATGAAACGAAGATTTATAGCATAGAAAAATAAATGGATAAAATAAAAGCCATTATAAAACTTTTATCTAAATTGATTATTCAGCTTATTGAATTACTTTATAATAAAATATTTCTTGATGATAATGAAGAAAAACGCGCGTTATATTATTTTGTTACTTTCATTGTTGTTTCCAACAACAGTGAATTCTGAATAACGTTATGTATAAAAGTATTTCTAATTTAACTTATAACATGTATTTAAATATTTCTTCCAAGTTAAATTATTTATTGAATTTATAAAAATCCATAACGTTTAAATACTTATCTTTATTTCATTAACATATATTGGATTTATTTATTTATTTATTACATCGAAGTAGGAAATGCTGGTCGGCTGTAGATCTCAACCCCCCAATATTTTTGAATGTTATTGTGAAAAAAATGATGGAAACATCGATAATAATATAAGGCAAAAAGCTTTTCAGGGCCTTTCCTTCGGGCGGTAGCATTGTTTTTAATATAAAATATTGAAGCAGTAAATAATACGTGTCTTATACAGTTAAGTAAAAATTAAATAGTCTAATAAATACGGCTATAATAAATTTAAGAGCTTGTCATATCTTATTTAATAATTTAATAGTTAATAATAATATACAATATTTTATAATTTGATATCTTATTATTTTTCATTATAACTTTGCTACTGGCAGATACGAAATACGAAGTAAGTTAACTTAATTTTATAATTTAAATACAAAAAATAAATATGAGAGAATAACTTACCTCTTTCGTTTTCCTTTTTTACGGCTGTAAATGAGATAGTATTTATTTAATTTCAATTAAAACCGTTAATTTTAATTAATAAATCCAATTACAAATCGTTATTTTTTCACGGAGAATTGCGATTATGACTTACAATGCGTTCTAACACAATATCTGAATCCTTCCTTTGAAATGTAAGCATTTAAGATGAAATATAAAACATAAATCAAACTTTATTTTTAATCACATGTCTGTTGGCTGACCAATAGAAAACCGAGGAAAAGTGGGTAGTCCTTTCTTGTCGTAGGTAATTAATTTTCTAACGTTTCCGGTCACGTATAAAAGAAATAATATTTTAAAATTCTAATGGTTTTCGTATTTATAAGTAAATTGATTTAAATACTGAATCAGGAAATCTGTTTAAATTTATATTTTCTCTCTTGTTGATTCGTATACTACATGTGAATTCTATTACTAATGCTACCTAAGTGTAATTTTCGTCTGCCTCTACACTTTAAAGTTTATGTTTCAATGATTAAAGTATATAGAAATGATTAACACTTTATAAACACCTGTTATCAAATACTTATTATATTGTTTGGTGTTTCTGACAGCCCATCTCTTTTTATAACTTATTATCTCTCGCTGTTTCGTTTATTTCTACATACTTTCATTGTATATTAAATAATTTATGGGTTAATTCTCTACTACAATTGACAATTAATATTAAATTAAAATAAACACATCATTTATTCGAGTCTTGAGCTTATTAAACACACCACATGTCTGTATTAAAGATTTATTGTGAAACGAGTTTTCGATTGATTCGTCACAGATTGGCTCAAAAGTCGGTAAACCCAGGAATGTTATTTAACAACAGGAAAACGGGTATAGAACACAGATGTTATTGTTCGTGATAAGTTAACATAAAAGTCATTAATAAAAATCCAGTTGTTTAGTTGTTAGATACAAATTCACGACTCACTGATTTTTTGTCACCTTCTTGTTATTTATAAAGAATATAACAGTTAAAAAACTTTATAAATTTATTTTTCAACATTTCTTAAGTTTTCTGTGTGACTAGATAATCATTTTATCTACACGATACTTTCATTTTTACTATCATTCTTGAAAAATAAAAATAGTAATATTAACAATTATTTATGAAAGTATGAATCCAAACGAGCAATTATTTATTGTGACATGCTCACAATGCCTGGCTGTAATTTTTAATTAATTTGATTTAAGATATAGTTTATCCACCTTAAATTAGTAGTGCCTTGCACCTATTCACCATACTTTTCCTGTTAGCAATAGACTGTAACTAACTGCTTACAGGAGAAAACTTTGATTTGAAATAACATGACGTTTGATTTAGGTCGAAAGTTGATATATAATTCATCTGGGCCTCCTGACGGTGTGGTTTCCATATCTGGTCTCATCTTCCATCTCTCTAACTACATTCTTGAGTTTAAGAAAGACAGACAGACAGACAGACGACAGTGGGAAATTATGGTCAATTTTTTACGCCTAGGATATTTTTGTTTGGATATCAATTATTTTTTGGTTAATAATTGTGTTGTTATATCAAGAACTAAGACGATAACGTAAATATATTAAAAAGCTTCTTACTTGTATTACTAATTTGCAAGCCAGCAACGAGTTACACAACTTTCCCGGCAACATTTAAAACTGAGTGTGGCGCCATCTGTTTTGATATTTTATTAAAATACTTTTTACATAATGAATTATTATAAAATAGCAAAAAGTTTAATTTTGAGGGATAGATGAGATTTAAAAAAAAAATTAAATGCTAATAACGAGTAAAATCGTCATTAACTCCGACCCTACTCGAGATATGGCACGCGATTCTTTATATCAACCCACCCATTCGACCTTTAACCACCAAAATTTAACAGTATTACTCCCCTTAATACGCAATCCTCCCAACAAAATTTCAGAAATTTTTGACATAAAGCAAGGGTGTTATTAACCTGTTCCTGATTTCTTTTGGCTCAACTTTAATGTCTTTCTATCTTATTAATAAACACAATATAAATTGTGAATAACATATATCATAGCTCCTTTCTCACTGCAAACTCATATAATTCACCTGATAGTAATAAACAAAAAATATCGGCTTAACCTTGATAAACTGCAAAACAACCCTAAATTTAGCGGCCGGATGGCCGAGCGGTTAAGGTGACAGCCTACCGCTCTGGGGGATCCAGGCTCGAATCCGAACGGGTCGAAAAATCCCCAGGAAATTATCGGGGGTGGTCCGTTCGGATATGTCGGGCCCCGTCCCTCACCACCCGGCAGCCCCATTGTGTTCCTGGCCGAACCCATAATGGGCTTCCCAAAAAGAGGACCTCTTAGTGCCCATGGGGCGGAAAGAGTTAAAAAAAACCACCCTAAATTCTAAATCTTTATTGTAATACTTTAAATCTATCTTATTATTGCAAACTTTATTCTCTGAGATGTTGTACATGAAAATTTGTTAATTAGTATAAAAATGTTTATCACCGTTTATTTATTATTGCCTGTTTCTTGCCGGACCCTGTATAAATACGTCATTGATATTGACACCTCGCTCGTTTGTGTTAGGTTTTAAAATATTTGAGTGGAGCTCTTAGTAAGTCAGTCAGTGATCGAACTTCAAAGCAATAACACGACCATTAATTAAATATGATTTTTTGCAAATACAGTATATACAATTCGGCAATGCTAATGTCATGACGTAGTCGGAATTTTCAATTTCCATTTATGGTCTAATAGAGGTAAAAATTGACCATATAAACTCTATGCCGGCTGTAAGTTTAAAGTAACTGCACGACCACTAAGCATGAGTTTTTGCAAATTCAACCTGTTCTAAAATAATAGAGCAACTGTGAAATAATGATATTAATAAAGTAATAAGAAGCATATTCAGACACAAAGTATTTCAATGTCACTGCTAGATGAATACAGAACATCATAATTAGCTTGTAATTAATTAATTACCCCTTGGCTCAATTTCTTCAGATTTCCTGTAATTTTCCCCATGAACAGCCATTTTTCCTCTCGTATTTGTTTACACAGAATATGAAAGACAACAGAAGCGTTTGATTATTGGTTTACGATAATATCGTATAATAATAAACTTATAAAAAACAAATATATAAATGAATTTTAATAACGTTGTATAGGACATACTCGTTTCAAAATGAGAGACATTTCTGCTTCAGCAGTTATTTTGAAATTAATATGCAAAATAACACACAGGATAGTATAAAATACAGAACAGTATTATATTAGGTGTGAATTTCTACAAAATATAATTCTGCAATACGTTATAAATAAGAGATTCGTCATGTTAAAATAGAACGATTAAAATATAAATTACAAAAATATAGGTTTATATTGTATGTATATAATAAGGTTAATGGTATATATATATATCCTTAATTCAATTATTTTACGTCAACTGCAGAAGATCGCTGGCATAACCAAAGCGGTTATAATCAGCCTTAAAAATCAAACTACTGAAAGTTGTTTTAAAAAAAATTAATATTGCGAAAAGAGAAGGGAATTTTTATTATTTTTCCATATCTTTCTATTGATCAGTCTGTTCGAAACATTACAAATTTATGTTTCAATTATGTTGACATAATTAAAATGTTTATTTATAAAACGACGGATTCAGATATTGGGCTAAAATAAGTTTTGTAGTCGTTTACGCATTCTGAACAATTGAGGTATCATAATTTGAATTATTAAGCAATTTACCGACATTTTAATAAAACTTTAATTGATAAACGATCATTTATAGTCTTGAGAGAAAAAACCGGAAAAGGTATGTAATTCCTCATTACTTTCTTGTATATATCAGAAAAAAAGATAAATTAAATCAGTAATTGTACTTCGTAGTCGTGCATGACAGTAGCAACTTTATAATTATAAAATTATTATATTATATTTGACGATCCACCTTACTTTACTTACTGTATCAATAATAAATTTAAATTATGATATTCTTGCTACAGATTATAAAAGATTGGTTTAAGGCCCACTGTTAATGGGGGTCCCAGCATAGGGAATTGTTTATTATTGGGCAGAGCTAAAAATTTAATTATTATTCTCGTACCAGATTATACAAAACAGTAGGAATGTTGATTAATAAAAAATCTAAAAAAGATTATAGTAATTTAGAAAAATGATAATCTTATAATATAATCGAAATTGGTTGATAATGATAACAATAATGATAATAATAATAATAAGCAAACAGCCCAAACGGATAAAGAGTTGAAAGATGAAATTTGGTACACTCTTAGGGTACGTCATGTTATTTATAAGTCTGTAAACTATATTTTGTTAGTATATTTTATATATTTTAGATATTTATTGTGTTTACTGTCATATGTCTAATCTTTAAATATACTTTAACCTTTTATCTTTTATAAACTCTCCAGACTCGCTACCGAAACGCTTAGTCGCCTGGAAAGCTGACTTCACCTCCTCACAGAGAAGCATGCAGATCAAAACTCCCTAACAGGAGATGAGTATTTCATCTTTCAAAAAACACAGAGAGAGGAAACTACGATTCAGAAATGATCTGATATGAGTAGATTTGAAGTAACGTATCATATAGAACCCAATGTATCGGTAGTTCAAAATTAAAATCTATTCAATATATTCATTATGCTGACCGAAAATCCTGCAAATTCATATATTACTTGATCTTCAATCTCTTTTTATATACAATACAATACCTTTTTACGACATTATCGTAGAAAATCTCAGCTACCACAGCGTAACATAAATCAAAAAATTATCACACGTCTATTGTTAATACGATGTTTTAAACATACATACTGTAGACGCGTTAAAATAATTTTACATATATTAAATAAAATATATCTAAATTAACATTAAAATTAAAACATTACCAATTGAAATTTTATTATGTTTTTACGTCAGAAAATAACATTTTTTCTTGCTTTTAATTTTTGATGTGAAAGTATTAAATATACTAAAACATTTAAATAATGCTGATTGTCATTGGTATAATTCTACGCGAACAAAACAAACGAATGACGTCTCACAGGGTTTATAACGCAGGAAATTAATTGTTTTCTTTAGAAATTTTGTTATAAACACTTTTATTCATATAAGTTATATCATATTTT